CCAAAAAGAATATAAATGAGATTAGACTAGATTGTGATGGTTCCAGCAGAGTATACCATATTAAAATTCTAAACTGATCTTGTAAGGATCATGGAGTCATAGATTTTTTTTTTAAGTAATTAAGTACAAAGATCTAAAATCTGGGCCGGCCGAGTGGCTTCTTGGTTAAGAGCTGGCTTAGGACACCAGCTCTGAGCAGCAGGACCTGTTTGGACCCCACATGAGGGCCAGTGACACTGCGCCCTCTACAGCTAAGGTGGTGAACAACACCTCGACCTGGAGTTGGGCTGCCATGAGTCGCCGGTGACGGCCTAGGCTGCAGCCCCTGCTGCAGTGGGCTGCCATAAGCTAGCGTCAATGGCTGGCAGCCAGCGTGAGCGGCCGCAGCCCGTGTGAGCTGCCAAGAGCTGCCATGAGCAGCCATCCAGAGGCTGGCGACCGATCTGCCTCACCTGGAAGAGAGCAATGATCACAATACCAACATGGACCAGTGAAGCAACGTCCTCCACAATTAGACTGAATAACAAAAGGACAGCAATTTGTCTGTTCCCCTTCCCCAATTCCCCAATAAAATATTTTTTTAAAAAATCTAAAATCTGAATTTTTACAAGAAAATTAGGGTAAGCTAAGTGAAATGCAGAGAGAAAAAACTGAAGGCAGAGAAGCAAGTTCAGAGTCTACTGCAAGAACTAAAATAACAGATGGTTAAGGGAAGAAGTGGAAATGAAAGAGGAAGAATAGATCTGTGTGGTGTCGTTTAAGAAGTAAAATCTAGGGGCCGGCCAAATGGCGCATTGGTTAGGAGTTGGCTTGGGACACCAGCTCTGAGCAGTGAAGCCCCAGTTGGGATTCCACATGACGGCCAGTGATGCTGCACCCTCTACAGCTAAGATGGTGAACAACAGCTCGACCTGGAGCTGGGCTGCCGTGAGTCACCGGCAATGGTGTGGGCTGCGGTGGTGCTGGCCGGCAGCGGGTGTGAGCTTTCGTGAGCTGCTGTGATCCACTGTCCAATGCTCGGCAAGTGATTGTCTCCCCCGGGAAGAGCGCAATGATAACACCAACATGGGCCAGTGAAGCGCCTTCCTCCACAGCTAGACTAAAGAACAAAAGGACAGCAACCTGCCTGTTCCCCTCCCCCAATTCCCCAATAATAAAAAAGAAGTAAAAACTAAAGGATATGGTAAATGATTAGGTATAAAAGATGAGAAAGAGGAAAGAGTTAAAGATTATTCTGAGCTTTATAACTTGAGGTAAATGAGTAATTCTACCATCAAACGAGATAAAAAAGAAGAAAGAAAAGTGGGAGGAAAAAACAGTGACTTAGTTCACTACCTTACTGTATATGACCTACAGGAAGATGGAAATCTCCAATAAACAAATGGAAATAGGAAACAAAAGAGAGACATTAAGATCTAGAGAGCACTGTCAAATACAGCTTTCTACAATCAATAAATGAACGGATAAAGAAGATGTGGTAATATACATACAATGGAATATTAATCAGCAATTAAAAAAGAATGAAATCTTGCCATTTGCAACAACATGGATGGACCGAGAGGGTATTGTGCTAAGTGAAATAAGTCAGAGAAAAATACCATATGATTTCACTTATATGTGCAATATAAAAAAGTAAATAAATAAACAAAACAAAATAGACCCATAGTTATAGAGAACATTCTGATGTTTGCCAAAGGGGAGGAGGGTAGAGCGATGGGAGTAAAAAAGGTTTGTAAAATAAGGGAAATATTCTATAGTACTGTCTAATGCAACAGACAATAGACTCATGTGTCTTTGATCACTTGCAATGTGACTAGTACAACAGAGGAACTTATTTTCACCTTTATTAAACTTTAATTAATTTAAATTTAAATAGCTACAGGTGGCTAGTTACTACCACACTAGATAGAGTATATCTAGAGACTTAAAGAGCATTTACATTCTCTTTTTCTCACTTTCTAGACATACAACAATTAAGATTTACATTTGATGTAGATTATTCAAATAGTTTTAAAATATCATCTTGGCTTAATATATTACAAAACTAAGGATCTATGATCCATCCTCAGCCAAACAGTATGATTACTTTCTTCTAAGTAATTCTTAATTCCATTTATAAATCAAAATGAAGCTGAGTAAAATCTGCACGGTCTGGCAAGCTGGCATTGAGGTTTAGTGGCAAAACAAACCAGTCTTGGATAAGAAGGCCTAGTTTGAGACCTAGAACTCCACTCTTCAGAATACTGACCTCTCCATCACTATCAGATATCACAATGAAAGCATCCTCAAGTTTACGCTTACTCTTCACATTGACAAGACTGGTAGTTTCTGTATCTTTCTTCTCCAGGTTCTGCACTTCAGAGGCTTCTTTAATTTTCTTCTTTCTCCGTGGCATCCTTTTGTCTGAAATACAAAGACAAATAATTTACTCAAAGTATGTTTTCTAGGTGCTATTTGTAATTTAGTCATATAAAAGAAAAAGATAACCATCTAACAGAAGTAAAGCTGGATTTCTGAACGTTTCCACTACTCATTAAAATGTACATATTTTCCTACAGAGGAAATATATAAATCTCTTTAATAAAATTTCAACAGGAAAAATAACTTACCCTAGCTCCTTAAACATTCACTTATTGGGTTTTTTTGTTTTGTTTTTCTTAAAGATTTTATTGGAGAATTGGGGGAGGGGAACAGACAAGTTGCTGTTTTGTTTTTCTTTAAGATTTTATTGGAGAATTGAGGGAGGGGAACAGACAAGTTGCTGTTGTTTTGTTCTTCAGTCTAGCTGTGGAGGATGTTGCTTCACTGGCCCAAGCCAGCACCATCATTGCGCTCTTCCCGGGCGAGGCAGATCAGTCGCCGGCTTCTGGACGGCCACTCACAGTGGCTGCTGGCCGCTCACGCTGTCTGCCAGCTACACATGGTAGCTTATGGCAGCCCACTGCAGCAGGGTACTGCAGCCTACGCCATCGCCAGTGACCCACGGCAGCTCAGCTCCAGGTTGAGCTGCTGTTCAGCATCCTAGCTGTAGAGGACAGTGTCACTGGCCCTCATATGTGGGATCCGAACCAGGGCCCTCTGGCATCCCAAGCCAGTTCTTAACCAACACGCCACTCGGCCGGCCCGATAATTGGTTTTGAGTACATATTATAATATATCTAAAATATTTTTAAACACCAAAGCCTCAACCTGATAAAGGACACCTCCAAAAAACCCACAGCTAATATCATATTTAAAGGAAAAAGATTGAATGCTTTCTCCTTACGACAGGAACAAGACAAGAATTCCTGTTTTCATCATTTCCCTGAACATTATACTGGAGATTCTAGGCACATCAATTATTTAAAAAGAAATACAAGACATCCAAATCGGAAAGGAAGAAGTAAAACTATTATCATTTACATGATCTTGTATTTTAAAAAAATTTAAGAAATATACAAAAACTATTATTATAACTAATGAACGAAGTCAGCAATATTGCAGGATACAAGGTCAATACATACAAAAATCACTTGTATTGCTATCGACTAGCAATAAACAATTCAAAAATGGAATTTAAAAAATTCAATTTCTAATAAGATCAAAAATAATAAAATGCGGGCCGGCCGAGTGGTGCGATGGTTAAGAACTGGCTTGGGGGCCGGCCGAGTGGCGCGATGGTTAAGAACTCACTTGGGATGCCAGAGGGCCCCGGTTCGGATCCCACATATGAGGGCCAGTGACACTGCCCTCCGCAGCTGAGATGCTGAACAACAGCTCAACCTGGAGCTGGGCTGCCATGAGTCGCCGGCGACGGCGTNCACCCTCTACAGCTAAGATGGTGAACAACAGCTCCTTGACCTGGAGCTGGGCTGCCGTGGGTCGCAGGTGACGGCATAGGCTGCAGCCCCTGCTGCAGTGGGCTGCCATGGGCTACCGTGTGTGGCTGGCGGTCAGCGTGAGCAGCCAACAGCCGGTGTGAGCTGCCAAGAGCTGCCATGAGCAGCCATCCAGAGGCCAGCGACTGATCTGCCTCACCAGGGAAGAGGTCAATGATAATACCAAATGAGCCCGTGAGGTAACATCCTCCACGGCTAGACTGAGGAGCAAAAACACAGCAACTTGTCTGTTCCCCTTCCCCAATTCCCCAGTGCTGTTCCCCTCCCCCAATTCCCCAAAAAAAATCTTTAAAAAAAAAAAAAAAAAGCAAAATAGTATGTGTAGCATGATTCTTTCCTGTAAAAGTTTTTATTGATGATATATGCATAAACATTTTTTTCCTCTGGAAGAATACAGAAGAAATTATTACCTTTCATTAAATGTACAACAACTGAGGTATACATATTCATTTTATACCTTTTTATGCTGTTTTGTTTTCAGTTTTGAACTGTTTTTATTCTGTTTTGATTTTTAACAAGTGTATATAACTTTTTAACATATCTGTATGTGTATAACTATTTTATTTTTGTTAATATTAAAATGGGTTATCCAAGTGATAAAACTGATGGATTGTTGTTTTCTTCTTTACACTTTTACACCTTAAAAAAAAAATTTAAAAATAAAAAACTATTTAAGACAAATCCTAGTTAAAAACTGGACTATGAGGAAATCAGGAAAAAAAAAAAAACCCAATAGAGACTTGAAAAAACAGCTCCATTTGCTGATTAAAAATATATTATGTTTTGGGCCGGCCGAGTGGCGCATTGGTTAAGAGCTGGCTTGGGACGCCAGAGGACCCCGGTTTGGATCCCACATATGAGGGCCAGTGACACTGCCCTCTACAGCTAAGATACTGAACAACAGCTCAACCAGGAGCT